CCACATATATTTTGTAGGCTACCCAAATAATGCAACCTCCCACTCTGATTTTGAAAGTATGAATGAATGTAACATTGTTTTGATTGTTTGTATGATTTAGTTATTCGAGAGTTTGAAAGTTGTACCAAATGTTTTAGAAGGAATTTTGAAAGTTTTGATCGGTCATATTTTTGTTACAAATGTTTCGAAACGAAAAAAATGAACTTCAATGTTTGATATGGAAATCCCTTATTGAGTATTTTTGTACTCATTTTTCTGTTTTCTAAATGTTTTCAGATGAAGGTTCAAGTGATTGCTCAGATAGTGGTTGAGGAATAACGTTCTGGCATGAGGAGTCGGAAATCTTTAATATTTCCATTTGTTTTAGCTCATGATAACTTAGTTAGCTCTGCTGTTATTCTTTGGCTTTATTATAGTATAGGTTTCTGTTTCAAAGTTGGACTTGTCCTTATTTTTTTCCATAGTATCAAATTAAATAAAGAAGTTTTTCCTTTGGTATAGTGTTTATTTGTTTACGCTTCCGCATTTTTGTTAAAATGACCGTATTAGAAAATATGGGTTGTTATAGTTAGAAAATACGGGTTGTTACAATTTCTCCCTTAATTCCTCATTTTAGTGTGCTTTTATGACTAGGATTCTCTCACTTATGCTCAATTTAACCCCTTATTTTTCCAAATAAGTCTCTTTTGGAAAGTTATCACCAATTAGTTATTTCATTTAGCATTATTTGCTAAATAGTAGACTCCTTTTGTATCCCTCACTCTCAGTCTTCTTTATACACCAAACTCAATAGAAGACCCCTAAAGAAAGAGGACTTTTGTGCAATTTTAAAATTATTTTTGGATTATTTTCCCAAAGTAGAAGACCCCTAAAGAAAGAGGACAACCGTCACACTCTATTCCTTACCCTAGAGAGGCCTTTTGTGCAACCACGGATTTTCTTTGAGAGCGCACCCCCTTTAAACGTCCACAAAACCTAAGGGCAGCCCACGTAAGTAATATTTACTCATCGTGCTTTGAGTTGCCTTTGGTTTGTACCCCATCCAAGCCGTGTATATCACACACCCTTGTTCCAAAGTTACCCATCTTGCCGCAAGCTACTTATTTTTTGGTAAGTACTTTTTGTGTGTGTTTTGAACAAGGAATTAGATTTTGTACATCTTTAGAAGTTAATTTTTGTTTCATAGTTCATTTCATTTGTACGCTTTGCCTTCAAGTTGCATATTGTAGCCAAGTCTTGTCACCAAGAGCATTAGGCTCAAGGTATTTGTATCTTGCCCTTTTCGATTTAGCATTCATCATAGAACTTTATTTATCATTTGGTATCTTTAATACCATTTGTTTCATTCCTTAGTCATTTGGTATCATTCAAATCATTTGACCCCATTAAAAAATAAAAACATATCATTTAGTGTTACTTGGGTAAGCATTGAGTATCACTCATCTTAATTACCTTTAGACTATTGTTTGCTATATTCTAGTCCACGAGCAATCAAGCTAGCATCTCAAGGTAAGGGTATTCACACCACACCAAGTCTAACTCTGCAAAAGAGAAAGTAAGTCGAGAGACTCAAGTAAGAGAGAGCGTGAGAGTTTTTTTGTTATTGCTAACTTTTGCTTATGTAGCATGGAATCAAGAATGAAGATTTCACAAGAGGCCACCACTAACTCCCAAGGAGAAGGAGTAAGTCCACAATGTAAGTACACATTAGATGTATGAGATCTCTCAATGCAGATGTTAGGGAAGATACTRATATGAACCAAAGTGTCTTAGTCTTCAAAGAGTTAAAGGAAGTTGTTGGAGAATCCTATGTCCAAGTTGACAACAAATTGGAGTTGCATTAAATGCACTCTAGTGTCATTTATGGCAACCTCAAATGGCATTGAATGAAGTCAAGAACAAGTCCAACTTCATTTACTACAAACTCAAGTTGCATTAATGGAAGTCTAAGTTGAACTCAAGAGGCATTAAATGAACAAGACTTCAAAGTACTTGAAAGTAGTTCAAACTCCAGTTCATTCACTCTTGAAGGGTTACAAACTCTTGGTTTTATGGTGGAGGAGTTTCATTCTCGGATTTAAAGCATGTTTAATTGTATTTTCAGTTTTAAACATTTCATTTATGTGTTTTAAGTTTTATTTGTGTTAGTGGTGGTTATGGTATTGATGTAGTAGGGAGTTACAACCTTTACAATTCTTTTAGGTTACTTGAAGGGTTGTTTTGGAGGCTATAAATAGCCTAGCTTGTTCCCTTGGAAAAAGAGATTTGAGTTTTGAGATAATGAAATTTAAGCTTATTGAGCCATGAGCTTTTCCTTTGCATTTCTTGTGTTTTAGAATTGCATGCTAGAATCATTCAAGTAGCCTTGATCAAGCTATCTTGTGGAGTGGTTCGAATCTTGAGTTTAGAAACAAGTTTTCTCTACTCTTGATATTGATCATCAAGGTAAATTCGTTCTAACTTCTTCCTTGGGTTGACATCATCTTGATTTGGGGGTTTTAGCACTTGTGATCTAGGGGTTTGCATAACCATAAGGGTTCTTAGATCCAATTGGCTATTGTTTTCTTATCAGATACGTTGGAGGAACATAGAGAAAATTTTTTCTACACTAGATGCAAATACCAGACCTCGTAGTGTTTGTATTTATAGTGGTAGTTGCACTAATGTAATTATCACATATATAGTGGATGTTGAGATATCCATAAATGAATTAAATTTACCCAACCCAAAAGCTTAAGCTTTTGGGTTGAGTGATAGTTTATTTATACTTAATATGATATCAGAGTTGGAGGTCTTGTGTTCGAACCCCTACATTGTTGTTTCCTCCCCATTTATTATAATTTCCACTTATTGGGAATTGTTGCAATTTACTCAACCCACGTTTAACTAATAGTGGTGAAATAAAGGTGTTTTATGCCAATAAAGTTGTTATTGATATTTCTCTTAGAATTGCTGTTTGAGATACAATTAATATAATGTATATTGATACATTAAAATATAAAGTTAATTTTGAATTGGATTCAAAATTATGAGAGATGGACATTAGAATTTGATTATAATATGGTTCATTAATTTAAGTTTAATTTGATTAAATATGAATTAATTAAATTAAATTGGATTTAATTTAATTAAATTAATAATTATTTTTGTAATTAATTAAATTAGATTTAATTAATTGTTAATTTAATTAAAATTGTTTTAATTAAATCAAAAATAAAACAAAAAAAGAAAAGAAACAAAAATGGGACGAAAACCTCCCATGGTGGAAAGTGGGGAGGTTTTCCCACTTCCCACCTCGGGGACTTCCCCCTCACTCCTTCCCTATAAAAGGGAGGTTCTCCCATTTCTTTTCGGTCCCCGAACGTCGATTGATTGAGTTTTCGAAAATCCAATGAGAAATCTTCTCTCTCGATTTTCCTTTCAGATTATAAGACGGTTCCCACAAACCGAGTTCTTGACATCTAGAGGATTGCGAGGAAGGTCTTTTGGCGGCGTTAGTGTCAACATTGAAGAAGTGTCTTCAAAGGTATATTTCACTAACTTCCCTTTACTTATGCTTATGTCTTTTCTTTGTTGTAATTCTAAAACAAGATCGAAGCACACGCGTTCGTGCGATTCCGCTGTGAGATCCGATCCCTTCAAAGTTAAGTTAGAGTTTCCTTCGCAATAGGTCGGTATAAAGATGAAGTTGTTTGTGATGTAACCTATGTGTGTTTGTGACTTTTTATTTGGAAGACAGTGGTGATAAAACGGTAAAGTATGATGGTTTTCATAACAAGTAATCTTTGAGAACAATGACAAGAAAACCATATTATTCCCCTTGTCTCCAAATGAAGTGCAGATTAACCAAAGAAAGTTGGAGAAAAGAATAAGAGAAGCCGCAAAAAAGGAGGCAGCCAAATTGCAAGGAGAAAAGGTGAGTGTCCCCTACTAAGGTGAGAAGGCCAAGAACCTCAAGGTAAGCTCAAATGAGAGGTTGAGGATAAAATGTCTTGCGATGATATGCATGTTGATCATATTTTACTTGATGGTAAGGAATTACATGATTGTATGCCTACGGTTGAAAAGGAAGATAGTAAGCTTGACAATTGTAAAATCATGCATGACATTCCCATTGATTGCAAGTTATTTTGTGATACTATGCCTATTGTTGACAAAAAGAGTAGTAACTTAGAAAAGGATATTCTTTATGATAGGCATGCTAATCCACATCTCATAGATACCGAAGATCCTCATGATCATGATAATATCTCTACTATTAGCTATTTATGCATAGAAAATCAAATAATAATGAATGACGTAGAGAGCAAGAAGAATAAAAATAGAACCATATGTCACCTTTAAATAGAGGTGAGAAGACCTTCCATATAAGGAAACTAAAACCTATTATTACTTATTACAGATATCATAAAAGAGAAGGAATTAATAAATATTTAAAATAATTGTTTAATAACACAAATTTCTTACCATTAGTCTCACACTAAAAATGCATAAAACCCAACCCAAATTATTAGTTATATTTATGAACTTAGTCAACCGGTCTTCTTTCTTATTTTTGTTCCCTCATTTTTTTTTTAAAAAATATATAATTGAATTAGTAACTATTTTTTGTTCTTATTTTCTTTATTGAATAAATAAGTTAACAATTTTTTGTTGTTTCTGTTCTCTAAAATTTTAATTAGAAAATAATAATAAATTTGATAGGGAAAATATTTTTTAAATTAAATATTCAATTTTTTAATGTTGTTATTATTTTTAATATCTATTATTTATTATTTATTTTATAAGTCAATAATTATAAAACAAAATTTTTGCTGATGTTTGGAACAAGTTGATTTAGTTGTTTATAAAATGTGTACAATTTTGGAAATATTTCTAAAGAAAATGAGAATGAAAAATAAGAAACATAGACAATTACATATGCATAAGTTTCTTAATAGATTAGAAATAGAAAACAAGAAACATAAACGTTATGAGACGAGCAATTAACAATTCTTAAGAAGTCCTAAAATCATGTATACATATCATTATTGTCAAATAATTAATAAAATAGACTATGCAGACAAATTTTTAATGCTTTTAGATCAAATGACCTATGTTTCATAGTCTAACAATCATATATCTTTATACAGACAGCTACTCTTTTCAAAAATAAAAATAAAAAAATTCAGACAGCTACCCAAAACTCCACATCCTCCTAATGGTTCTTGCAGCAACACGGGAAATTAAACGTCTAGCGACCTCAGCGGGCAGGTTAAGCATTTGCTGCTGCGATTCCGGTGGGAGCTACAATTATGGAAGGCATGAAAGAGAAATCAGTAAACATTAAATGATAGACCATACTCACCGTAGAAAAGAGAAAAAATAAAATGTTAATAATCTACTTTCTGAACTTTTAAATTTGTGTTCAATAGGACAAAATGAGTATAGTTCAAGAGTAATTGGCACCTACTTCTAACAAAAAGTTGTGAGTTCGAAACCCCTCTATATGTTGTACTAAAAACAAATTGTGTTCAACAGATCCTCGAACTTTCAGTTATGTGTTTAATAGGTCTCCCTAAATTATAAAAGGTGTCTAATAAGTATTTAAAAGTTTCAATTTTGTGTTTAATATGTCTTTAAACCTTCAATTTATGTCTAATAAATTATTGACCTATTTGACATTTTTTAAAATTCATGAATTTATTAGACACAAGATAAAGATTAAAGATTTATTAGATACAAAATTCAATTTTATGTTTAATGGACATATTAATTTTTTAAAAGTTAATCTATTGGATACAAAATAAAAAAATTTATGAACTTATTAGACATGGTGAAATTTCATACATCTATTAGACACATAATTAAAAAATTAAGGATTGGTCAAATATTTTTTAAATTTCATAAACTTATTAGACACATACTTAAAAGTTTAGGTACTAAACTTATAATTTGATTAGAATGGAATAAAATGAGCTAAAGCAAAAAGTGTCTTGGAATGTAATGAGAGAAGAGGACGTGGATGAACATACTAGAGCTTTCTTTCAAGTAAATTGGAATTGTTTAACATGATTAAATCACCCGTCAATATAGAAGTTTAAGGTGATAGGATATGATAAATTTAATCATTTATAGGATATCTAACCAGAGTGAACTCAATGCATGGTTTCTTAAGACAAATGAAAAACCATGAAGCCATTATAGATGTAATCCTCTTCTTGGTAGTATATTCGGGAAAAATCATCAACCTGTTTGTAATTACAGCGCTTAAACTCTCTCTTATAGAATTGGAGGAAATTTTTGTAATCCTTAGGATGTGTTTAATTCATTTTTTAACATTTCATATTGTCAATTAAATTGTTTCGTATAAAAAGAAAGATATAATTTCAAGAGGACTAATGATGAAAAGAATAGATGTTCCTCATCTCTCTAAACTATTTTCCTACTTTAGGAGGCAATAAAATAGCCCGTCCGAAAGATGGTGGTATATTTTCGAACATGATTAAACTTTCAGGAAACTTTTATGACCTAAATGTGAAAAGATGGTAAAGTAGGTATAATAATAATAAAACGGTTAAAATATAATTTGGTCACTGTACTTTCATTGTTCATTTTGATCCCTGTACTTTCAAAATGTTCATTTTAGTCCCCTTGTATTCAACTTTGGTCCATTTTAAGTCCCTCTACTTTCAAAATGGTCATTTTTGGTCCATATACTTTTAAAATAAGTGACCATTTTGGTCCATTAATTTTATTTTTAATCTCAATTTTTCTATGATAATTTCAACACCAACACTATAATCAATATATTTCTTAAAACGTAAACATTACTTCATACTAAAGAGTTTGTGTTATGTGTAAAATTTGTGTTAAAATTTTACAAAGATTGATTAAAATGGTCACTTTTTAAAAGAATAGAAATAAAAATTAACATTTCAAAGTACAGATACTAAAATGAACAAAAGTTAAAAATAGAGACCAAAATGAACATTTTTTTCATTTTTCTCAATGAAAGTATTGTTTCTCATAAAAAAAAAATAATAATAATAATAACATTCAAAGTACATGCACCAAAATGAACAAAGGTTAAAAGTACAGGGACCAAAATAGTATTTTAACCTAATAAAAACGTATAGGCACTGTACACACTGAAAATGTAATAAAAGTACCTATATCAGATTCGTACCTCAGGAATAACGGAAAGTATAGATAAAATTTCCCGTATAGATGCTTCATCCAAACCCGTTATCTGATTCTTACTAGCTCCCTGCAAAGTTACCTAACGAAGTAAAAAAAATCATGTTAGGAAAATTCCATGCACCTGTTTTTAATTGAGAACATGACATAAGGTATTAGCATACTTGCAGCAGATGTTGGAGGCAATGAAGGAAAGTAGGGGATTATTTAGAATGGAGAGACAAGTATGGAGAGAAACTTTTAATATTGTGCTTCGGCACTCTCTTAATTTAAGCTTTGGTTTTTCTTGATTACATAGAATGAGAGATAACACCTCTATTTATAGGTGTTTGAGAGAATTCTTTGGAGAATTCTAGAGAGTTAAGGAGTTCTCTATATACATATTAATTTATTCTTATGCAAAGGAATTCTCCATGGAACCTAGGAAAAAAGCTAGACGATTCTAGAGTTTTTTATTTATATATTTATTTACAAACTTCTAGATAAATCTATAGATAACTATTTGTATGGATAACTCTAGAAGATTCTAGCATATTTGAAAATTACAAATTACTATTTTTCAACATACCCTCTTAATTTTTAATTTTCAAAAACTTCTTGAACTTCTCGAACTTCTCAGTAAGATAGATTAATGAACCGACCAGACTTCGAAAAGTCTGTGGATCTGCTTTACCAGATTTATCTTCACAACATAACTTCTCATTGGGTGCCATGGGAGTCGTAGCAAGCTTGCAATTGCTCATATGAAATTTCTTGAGTAAATCATCAATATATTTTTTTTGAGAAAGAAAAATCTCACCTTGATGTTGCTTTACTTGAATTCCAAGAAAATATTTCATGAGACCCAAATCCGTCATTTCAAAATTCTTCATCATGCTTTGTTTGAATTCTTCCAGCATTTTTGAGTTAGTCCCAAAATAGATTAGATCATCAACATATAAGAAAACAACAAGGAAATTCGTACCTTCCTTCACATAGAGAGATGGTTCACTGAGGCTTTTCTGAAATCCATTATGGCAGAAATATCCATCGATTTTGCTGTTCCATGCACGAGGCGCTTGCGTTAATCCATACAAGGCCTTATGGAGTCGATAAACTTTCTCCTCCTTTCCATGAACAATATATCCTTGTGGCTGCTCTATGTATACTTCTTCTTCCAGCTCGCCATTTAAGAAAGCAGATTTGACATCCAGTTGAAACACATTCAATTGTAACTGGGCTGCTAAAGTAAGAACAATTCTTATTGTCTCCATGCGAGCTACTGGTGCAAAAGTCCCGTTAAAGTCGACACCAGGCTATTGGGAATAGCCTTTTGCCACTAGACGAGCTTTGTGCTTCTGAATGGAACCATCTTCTTTAAATTTTGTCTTAAAGACCCATTTTAAGCCAATCGCTTCTTTTCTCGGTGGCAAGTCTTGAAGCTCCCATGTCTTATTTCTTTCGATGCTGGCCATTTCTTCATCCATAGCTTTCATCCAACTTCTTCTTTTGCTGCCTCATCAAAATTTTGTGGCTCACAAGCAAACATTGCAAAATGTTCACTTGAAGCATAAATATCTTGTAAAGAACGCATTCTTCTTGGGGGAGATTCCGAGCTTTCTTGATTTGAAGTCGCTTCAACTGGCGATCTCGTAGGAGTTGAAGGAGAGCTTCTTGGTGAGCTCAAATTCTGAGAGTCTTGTTGGCTATCAAGCTCTTGAATATCTTCGTACTGTTGGGAAGGTTGAGAACCATTATTCTCAAAATCCCATGTGGCCATTTCGTCAAATATTACGTCTCTTGATATCAACAATTTCTTCATCTCTGGATCTAGCAATCGATATCCCATTGATTCATCACTGTAGCCGATGATAAGTATTTAGCTCATTTTTTATCGAACTTTTCTCTTTCCCGGGAAGGAACTAGAGAATAAGCTGGGCAGCCAAAAACTTGGAAGTGATGAACAACAGGTTTCCTCTTATTCCATGCTTCGAAAGGAGTTTTGTCTTCTACTGCTTTGGTAGGACACCGATTGAGGATATATACAGCTGTATTGACAGCTTCTGCCCACAAATTATTTGGAAGTCCTTTAGCTTTCAACATGCTCTGTGCCATTTCCACAATGGTTCGATTGTTTCTTTCAGCAACGCCATTTTGTTGTGGACTGTGTCGAACTGTTAATTGTCTCATTATGTCATTCTCCTTGCAATAGTCCATGAATGGCTTGTAGATGAATTCACCTCCTCGATCTGTTCTCAAAGTTTTGATCTTTTTGCCACTTTGGTTTTCTGCAAGAGCTTTAAATTGAACAAAAGCAGCAAAAACCTCTGATTTTTCATTAAGAAAATAAATCCACATCATTCTTATAAAATCGTCGACAAATAAAATGAAATATCTTTTGTTAGTGAGAGTTGGAGTTCTTGTAGGACCACATATATCTGCATGCACCAACTCTAGTGGAGATTTAGCCCTCCATGAAGTTTTAGGGAAAGGAAGTCTATGGATTTTCCCATAAATGTAGCCTTCACATACCTTTCCATTATCTTCGATTTTGGGTAGCCCAATCACCATATTTTTTTGTTTTAGTGTAAGAAGACTTTTGCAGTAAAGATGACCATACCTCAAATGCCATAGGTAGGAAATATCTGGACTTTCGCTCTTGAGAGAAAAGTTTTCTTCCAGCAGCACCAGGAGTGGAAAGACTTTGGTGACTGACATATCAACCTTTGCCACTATCTGATCCTTTTTCTTGTCCAGAATGATGCATTTGACATCATCAAAATTGACTGCATATCCTTTCTGGGAGTAGCTGACCAACACTTAACAAATTTTGGGTTATGCCAGGAACATAAAGAACATCTGAAATATACCTTGTATCTCCTTTCTTGGTGTGGACAAGAATGACTCCTTTTCCTTCAGCTTTGTGCATTTTGCCATTTCCGAGCTTTACTTGAGAGCTGAAACTACGATCAAGCTTCACAGAGAAGTCTTAATTTCCTGTCATGTGATTACTGCAACCACTATCCACGTACCATATACTTTTCGATTCATGTTGGTCAATTGTACAAGAAAACAATTGCTCCCCTTTATCTTCTTTTGTAAAATTTGCTTCATCTTTTTTATTTTGAAACCAGCAATCTTGTTTAAAATGATTTGCAATCCAGCATTTAGTGCATCTAAAGTAACAATCTTTAGATTTATGATTGGACTTTTTGCAAACAATGCAGTAAGAGTCAGTATTACCGGATTTTTTGATGTGCCATTCTCCTTTGTCCCGTTGATCATGTTGCCCATCATTCTTTTGCGCAGGATTCCATCGTTTTTTATGATTAGACTTGAATGTCTTCTTTTCTGCAAAATTTAGCTTGGTATGAAAGGCTTGCTCCACAGCTTGTGTTGGACACTTGTTCAATCTCTCTTCGTGAGCTTGAAGCGATCCCATTAGTTCAAAGATTGTCAATTTAGGCAAATCTTTGGACTCTTCGATTGCTGCAACAACATGGTTAAATTTTGGAGGAAGGCTTCGAAGAACTTTTTCATTGACTCTCTTTTCTGGAATAGTCTCTCCATAGTTCTTCATTTGGTTAATGATTTCGGCAACTCGAGAAAAGAATTCGCAAATGTTTTCGCTTTCCTTCATCGTCAAGTTGTCAAAATCTCTCCACAAGGATTGCAACTTGATGGAGATAATTTTTTCAGATCCCTTAAATTCTTTTTGCAAAATTTCCCAAGCATCTTTAGCTTTTTTAATACCAAAAATTCGAGGGAAAATGGACTTACTAACACCTTGCTGAATGAGTCGGAGAGCTAAAGCAGTTCGCCTTTTGTTCTTCCTAAACTTCTTCTCTTGTTCTAGTGTCATCTCCTTGGTGCCTTCATCTTCATAGTCTTTTTCAATGATTTCCCAAAGATCTTGAGAAATGAAAATTGTCTCCATTTGACTCTGTCATTATTCATAATGCTCTCCATCAAATACGGGAACTTGGTTCGTTGGAAGGGTAAATAAGTTTGGAACACAACTAGTAGTCATGTTCAATTTTAGGATGACTCTGATACCAAATTTGTTGGAGGCAATGAAGGAAAGTAGGGGATTATTTAGAATGGAGAGACAAGTATGGAGAGAAACTTCTAATATTGTGCTTTGGTACTTTCTTAATTTAAGCTTTGGTTTTTCTTGATTACATAGAATGAGAGATAACACCTCTATTTATAGGTATTTGAGAGAACTCTTTGGAGAATTCTAGAGAGTTAAGGAGTTCTCTAGATACATATTAATTTATTCTTATGCAAAGGAATTCTAGAATTCCTTGGAACCTAGGAAAAAAGCTAGATGATTCTAGAGTTTTTTATTTACATATTTATTTACAAACTTCTAGATAAATCTATAGATAACTAAATGTATGGATAACTCTAGAAGATTCTAGCATATTTGAAAATTACAAATTACTATTTTTCAACAGCAGAGAGGTTTTAAAATAAGACCAAAAGAAAGTTTGACGTAAAAGTTTAATACCATTTTTAAAATCCTTTTGTTCAGTTTGAGATATTTTTTTTCACCTCTTTTTGCGCTTTTGTCAGATCACTAAGAAATTTCTCTTGACCCCACCCCAAAAGAATAAAAATATAAAAGCCAAAATATGATGTTATATAATAATGGGAATACAACATGTGGGGGTTGTTATTCAAACTCACAACCATAGGTTAGAGATATATGTCAATATTACCGTTGAGCTATGATTGCTTTGACGGTAATTGCATAGTTTTAAGTAACTATAACTGAGGCCTTTGGTCAATGTGAAATCTTAAGGATGTCTACCTTTGGTCAATGTGAAATCTTAAGGATGTCTACAATGGTCTAGATAACCAAGGGAATTAGAAAGACACTACAATAAATAAAATACTTGTTGAACTCTCTCCGTTCATTAAACAAACTAACAAATCCCCATAAACAAAGAGTCCGTTTGGTAACGTTCTCGTTTCTTATTTTTGTTTGCTCTATCTTAATAAAGAAAATAGAATTGCATTGTCCCCAACACCCATAGAATCAAGAAGGATGAAACATCTTTATTTGTGTTGAACAAATTAGAAACGAAAACAAGAAACTTGTTTTTTTTGTTTCCAAAATTTTTATACAATTTGAGAATGTTTCTAAAAAATGAGAAACAAAAACGTAAGTAGTTGTCAAATGTTTAGATTTCTTAATAAAATGATAAATGAGAAACAAGAAACGAAAACGTTACCAAACGGGGCCTAAATTTTTGTTTTCGTTGAAAATGAGTTCTTAATTATTTATTCTTTTAAGAAAGGGCTAGCTTTGTCCTCAAATTCTTAAATTGACAATGTTAGAATTAAGAGTACAGAAGAACCGACCTGGTTGGAAAGATTTTCTTGAGATCCTGACAGCAAGAGTATAAGGCGACCCAATGTTCTCAAGTTGTTCACATCTTCATTGGTCATCACAGAGACAGAAGTTGAAGAGCCGAAGGGTATCCTTGCAGCAGTCATAGAAGTTATAGAATCCAATGCTGCTAAACCCAATGCATCCAAACCCTGGCAATGACCCCCCACCCAAGCAAAAAGCAAAACGAAGAAAGAAACAAGGAGAAAAAGGAATTATTGTATGCGTCAGGTATCAAATTATAGAACATCAATCCTCTCTATTCACCATTTGGTTCAGGATTGATCACACAAAATTATATTGATTTATAATTAAATCATACTACACTATATTCTCTTGAATCATTGTACACTGTATTGTCTAGATAGTTCTCTTCTTACAAACCCCTCCACCAAAGAAACCCATATACGTGTACTAGATGATAATATCACTTGTTGAGGTTACGAAAAATTAGCTATAAGATATCGACGATGTTGGTAACTACTATATATAAAAATGGTGTAATATTGACAAACAGATAAAACGTAAATGGCTACAAACGATACAAATTCGAACAACTTGATGAACACTAAAACTTGATAAAAATAGTCGAGACACGTTTCAATAGCGCTGACCTGAAGACAATTATTCGCTTCGTACAAGTTGCTAGCAGACTACAGTATCGTCTCAGCACGATACAACGACTAACTCCAAGTAGAACAACAATCTCGAACTACTCGGATCTGACAGAACTCTTAGATATTTGCTCTCAAAACTAACCAAAACAACAACTCAAAAATAATAGAGAATTCTTGTGAGAGAAGGAGAATATCCAATTGTAGTATGCTTGGATATCTCAAAATGAAGAAATCCAGAACTATAAATAGTTGTCCAAACAAGTAACCTCTCACTCAAAATTAAACACATATGTAACATTTTTACATATGCGTCTTTAACACATAAATGTAAAAAGCTTCTTACTTAAGAAATAACTTAATTTTAACATATATGTGTTTTTAACACACATGTAACTTCAACACATATAAAAAGTTACAAATGTGTAACTTTAACAAAAAATTAACAAAACCAATAAAGAAAAATTCACTATATGTGAATAAATTTCTTTAAATTTCATTTCTTTTACACTTTAAAAATCCAACAATCCCCCACATAAAAGAAAGTGAGATAGACAAGACGTTGAGAGCAAATAGATAGGTTATGCATCATGAGAGGTGTCTTTTGGACTTCAACATTCCTTAGTGAATATGATGTAACTAACAGTACTTTCTTTAGTTATCTTCGGTTAAGATAGTTAGTTAGGTAGTTCACTTTTGTTAAGCTGTTAGTTTTTCCCCCTATCCCATGGCTTATTCCTATGAATAGTTGGCCATTTGTATCTTTTGATTGATTCTCCAATACAACTCAAGTATTCTCTCAAATCGGTTACACCAGAATATCTATCGAATTTACCGAATAAATAGTGAGAACTAGCTCTGTAACTATCCTTCTCATGATAAATTGATAACAAATATCACACGTAACTTATCTTGTATCTTTGAGTTCTATATGGTTGTGTCCATTTTGGTTCTAGACAAGATCCTGAATTCATGAGGACTTTAGAGAACATAAGTCATTTGAAAAGTTATCATAGAACCGACCCAATTCTACTGTCATCTAGGTGATATTGATTATGAATATTCTGTCACTACCCCTCTTGTAATCAAGATATCAATATGACCTTAACATCAACAGATCACACACGTAACATCATAGAAATGGGAAGAAACTATTAGTTTCTTTAGTGCGTCAACTATGAATTATCTAGCCAGTTTGCCTATTGAACCTAGATCTTGGGATCTCCAGTCAACTAGGTTAGGTTACCACAAGTCAACTAGGTTAGGTTACCACCAGATACTTCATTTCATAGGCTTTAGCCCCATTTCTCTCGATGTATATGCAACTAGCTCTCTTGACAATCATTTTGTCAAAGGATCTGCAACATTCTCTTATGATTTTACGTAATCAATGGAAATAATTCCATTAGAGACCAATTGTCTAATAGAATTATGTCTGCATCGTATGTATCGTGACTTTCCATTATAGAAATTGTTCTTATCCCTCATTGAGGCTGCTAAGCTGTCACAATAAACACATATGGCATTTATAGGCTTCAGCCACAATGAAATATCTTCAAGAAAGTTTCGAAACCATTATGCTTCTTTTCCATCTTTATCAAGAGCTATAAACTCTGATTTCATAGTACATTGTGCTATACACGTATATTTTGAAGATTTCCATGACACATCGACTCCACCTAAGGTAAATATATACCCACTGGTTGACTTAGTCTCCATGCTATCATAGATCCAGCTAGCATCACTAAATCCTTCCAGTAAAAATGGATATTTTGTATAATGCAATCCATAGTCTAAAGTGCACTTCAAATACTTTAAAACTCTGACTAGCGCATTCCAATGATCATGTCCACGATTGCTACTGTATCTTGCCAATCTTCCTACTGAATAGGCAATATCATGTCTTGTACAATAATTCATTGTGTACATTAAACTACCCACAACTCTAGAGTATTCTAGAGAAGATACACCTTCATCATTATTCTTCTTCGACTTACAATTTGGATCAAATAAAGTAACTACCGTCTTACTCTCATAGTGACCAAATTTTCTCAACACTTTCTCTATGTAATGAGATTGAGAAAGTATATATCCACTTGAATTTCTTGTTATTTTGATTCCAAGGATAACATCAGCAAAACCAAGGTCTTTCATATCAAAGTTGGAATTCAACATCTTTTTAGTGGAATCAATCAAACTTCTAGTTGAACCCTTTATCAACATATCATCCACATATAAACAAACAATGACACAATCTTTATCTATGGCTTTAACATAGACACATTTTTCACTCTCATTTATCTTAAATCCATTAGATAACATAGTGTGATTAAACTTCTCATGTCATTGTTTTGGTGCTTTGTTTCAACCCATAAAGAGATTTGACAAGTTTACGAACCTTATTTTCAAGTCCTTTTACAACAAACCCTTTTGGCTGTTCCATATAAATTTCTTCATCTAAGTCTCCATTTAAAAATATAGTTTTTACATCCATTTGGTGTATTTCCAAGTTTTGTAAATCTGCTATAGCAATTAACATCCTTATAGATGTAATCCTCGTCACTGGAGAATAGATATTAAAGAAATTTAATCTTTCTTTCTGACGATAGCCTTTAGCTACTAAACAAGCTTTATATTTATCAATAGTGCCATCAACTTTTAACTTTTTTTTGAAAATCCATTTACTTCCAATTAGTTTTCTTCCAGGAGGTAAATCAACCAATACCCAAGTATTGTTTTGCAAAATGGATTCTATCTCACTATTAGTAGCTTCTCTCCAATAAGGTGCATCTGTAGATTACACAGCTTCTTGAAAATTTTGAGCCTCCCCATCTATCATATAAGTTATGAAATCCGGTATAAAGGAAGTAGCTTTCTTAGATCTTTTGCTTCATTTAGGTTAGATCCCAGTTTCCTTATCGTTTTGACATTTCGAAGAGCTAGCCTCATGATTCCTTTTGGTACCATTACCTTTCGATCTTTTTCTTTAAAAGGAAATGTATCCTCAAAGAATTCAGCTTCAATAAATTTCATGACAATATTATGATTAATATCAAGTATTTCTAATTTCATCACCAACAATCTAAAAGTAGCACTATGCATAGCATATCCTATAAAGACAAAATCAACTGTCTTAGGTCCAAGTTTAGTCTTTTTTGGTAGAGAAACTTGTACCTTTGCCAAACATCCCCACAGTTTCAGTATTTTATATGAGGGTAACTTCCTTTTCCACAGTTCATAAGGTGACTTATTAGTCTTTGTTAGAGTATATATTAGTATATTTTATATTCTTGTATTAATATTAATTTGTCCTTTACCTTCTCCGTATAGGATTAGGTCAACCTTGTATATTTGTCTATATATATAGACTTTAATAATGAGAATACATCACATTGGATTCTTTCCAACCTTAGTCTCTTCATGGTATCAGAGTTCTAGGTTTCTTCTAAAATTTTTGTGCCCATTAGGGTTTTGATGCCCATTAGGGTTTTGATGCCCATTAGGATTTTGTGCCCCTTAGGGTTTTGTCCCTTAGGGTTTTGTTTATTACTATCCAACACTACGACCGCCGCCGCTGCCGGTTGCCGCCGACCAGCACCGCCACCGCCGCTGCCGGTCACCATCACCGGTCGCCGCCGTTTGCTGATTCGCCAACGCTGCTGTTTTCCAATTG